TCTCCTTCCCTCCCTCCCTTCCTTCCACCCTCCTCCCATTTCTCCCTTTGCTCCTATGTGGTTCTGTGATGAACTTAAGGCTTTATACACTTAGATAAGGACTCAGAACATTCCAGTCCAGTTTGCATTTTTTACTAACCACTGCAGATGATTCTGGGAAGGTAATTCAATGTTCTGAAACACGAGAAACACAGTTTTAATCCCACTACTGCTTATGGTAAAACTGACTTTGCAGTTTTGGGGACCTCTCTTTTTGAGATCTTTGTGTGTTTTTTTTTTAATCCCTTGTTCTCAAATCAGAAAATTACTCATCAACTTTATTTCAAGCAAGGGGTTTAAATTGTTGTGGGGTAAAGTGGAAGTGAAAAGCAATAGATTCTTTTAAAAGTAGAGTTGGGAGTCAGGAGCTGCCCTTGCTCCTGTCATGAATCACATAGTCTATGGCCTGGAGAAAGCTGAGTGACAGCCAGAGCTGTTATGACTTCAGGCAGGCGCTCCTTAAACTGCTGGAGTTTATGAGTAAGTTTCGGAGCCATGGAAGTCTGAAGCTATTTCTGGTGCATGTAGCTTCATGTCATCTTTATGATAATAAAAATGGTCTTTATCCTACACCCCCATCAGTTTTGTATGTCAAGATGTAGATAAAAGGATGAGATGCAAGAGACTATCTGCCCACACTTATCTTTGCTTCATTACTTGTTTCACTGGAAATAATTTAGGTGAGCACTGGTTACTGATTAGTGGTTCAACATCAATTAATGGCCCTGTGGGTATTAATTTACAAAATCATGAAAGAGGTGTGTGGCATGGTGGGGGGTTCTTTTCTTCCTTTTATTTTTTTAAATGTATTTCTAGGAAATTCTCTAAAGCACTGAGCTATGTTTTTGCTCTCAAAGTGGACTGATTTTTCTTTTCACAGATTCCAAGTGTACCACTATCCCATTCATTACTATAGATTATATAGGGTGGACTTGAACTTTAAAACTCACCCCTTCCAATTTCCTTTCATCCCGGAGTCTCTCCCAGGGATGCAGTGTCTCTTGGCTTACGTGGTTAGCAGAGATGCAGACTACAACATCAGACTTTGGAGCTGCTAGTCGTTTTCCATGTGGCAGCCGCTCACATCTGCCCATCAACCTTTAACATTTTAACATGGAAGTCTTTGCCCGGGGAAGCCACAGGAGAAACTAGAAAACGTGTCACTCTTGACAAACACTATTAAGCTGTTCACTTTGACGTTATTTAAAAATAAAATAAATACTGGCAAGACAGAGAGGTCCCATCGAACTGGATTCTAAGATTTCAAAATGTCCTTTGATAATTTGACATATAAAGGTGGTACTAGTATCTTTCAATATCATTTTTCCTTTTGTTTTGTCTAAGTTAAGATGATTTAAGCCAAGGCAAGCACTGAGAGTTTAAACTCACTGAAAACAGCCATGTTATTAGTTGACACTTTCTACTTCCATTCACTACTTCTTTTCCTATCTGGTTTCCTCAGGGCGACTTTACTTTCTGCCTCCCATTCCCCATCTGCTCTGGGACTTCCTTCTTCTTTCTCTGAGACTCAGATGAAGGGCTGGAGATATGACCCAATCGCTAAGAGCACTTGTTCTTACAGAGAACCCGGGTTTGATTCCTAACACCCACATGGTAGCATATAACCATCCTTCACTCCAGTTTTGAGGGATCTGATGGCTTCTTCTGACCTTCATGGACACCAGGCATACATGCAGTGGACATACGTACATGCAGGCAAATGTTCATAGATATAAAATAAAATAAAAACATCTTTGAAAAAAAGACTCAAATATCAAGCCTCAATAGCAATTTCCCCACCTACGATTTGACCTGATTTTTGCATAACCACCCAGGTGAGTGAGTTGGGAGTCACCAGTGTGGTGTATCTGCTTGTCTCCCATTTACTTTGGTGTTAAAATTAGGCTACTTGTTTTTGACTCACTTTCATAATTCAAATCGACAGTTTAGGGCTTGGCTCTTTATCAAAGTGAAAAAGCTTTTTGACAGGCAATTCCTAGCATACAGTGGGAGCTTGAAAGTGTATTGAACGAACGAACGAACGAACGAATGAATGAATGAATGAATGAATGTTTACCATCCCTATGTCTCCCCTTCCCATACAGCTTTTATATTCTAGGGTAGGAATGCCAGTGGGTTTACTTTACTTTATCCCCTTAATATTCTGGGAAATATTTGAAAATACCTCCCCCCTGATCCGCGATAAATGGCCCTGTTAAAAAGGACTGACCCAAGGGGGTGATAAATAGCTATGTTCCTTTTTACATTTTATTTTCTGTGTCATATGAATACTCTCTTTGAAGTTGCGTATTTACTTATATTCCATAGAGGAAAGCCTGTTTCTCTTTATGGTCTTTGCATGCCATGGCTGCTCTAAATACATTCAGTTGCTTCTGGTTGGCATCCTAAACTCTGAAGAACTGTGTAGAGGAAAAGGAGCAGGTTGAGGGGGCAGGACCACCCTGTGGATTTCTCTCCTCACGTTTCATGGCTGCCTTGATGTTTCTTTGCTTCTCTCCCCTGGTCTAGGGAAGTGCTGCCTTAGAAAAGGTAAGAGACGCCTGTTGTCCAAAGTGGGATTTTATCTGTGTCATCCGAGGCTGCCCTGTGTCATGTCAGTTAGACTGCATTAAAGGTGAAGAGTCCTAGACCACACTTTACCTGCTCATTGCTGTTTTGGGGGTCATGGCTGAATTTTTATAAAAGTCCTGGACATTTACATTGCACCCTTGTCTTGAGATTTGCTGTCCTTGCCCGATGTCACATGAGCTCTGAGGTAGAAAATTAAATATAAAACAATTCCAAAGGCCATTGCATTTGGGTATCTTTTTACAGTCAGGACAAAATACAGTACATGTTTTAAAAAAAAGTCTAATGACTGACAAATAGAATAAACTATGAGCAGTCTTTAAAAGAGTAAGTGAAGAACATTGGTTACATTATTTGATGAGGCAGTTATGGAAAACAAGATATATGTGGATCATTTTATTTATTTTTAACCATGAAACAGTAACAGCTGTTATATATGAGCTCTAGATGCTGACTTATTTGCTTCCTGGCTTTTGCCCCTTTGGTCTTCCTCAGATCTCTTGCTCCTGCCTTCCAGTGTGTGGCCATCGACTTACCACACTGGCCCGACGTTGATGGGGTGCAGGCAAGAAGCTTGTCTTATTGGATTTGCTCTTCCATGAGACTGCCAACTCTACCACTCCTTCTTTTCATTATATTTTTTTTTCTTAATTTTCTTTGATCACCTTTTGCTTAAAATCTTCCTCCTCAGGAGTCAGGTTGGCCCTCTTCTTGCAGTCTAAGGAGAGGGGCCCTGGGACACACACCACTGTCTATCAGGTGTGCTGTCAGTGAGCACCACACAGGTATTCATGAGGGTCTTGGCGCAGACCAACTCATTATTAGATGCGTTGTAAACAATGTCAGTGATCCTCATTTTGTGAGTATAACACAAAGGTGTCATAGGTGAAGTTTGTGAGATCCTGTTGCAGGGCATGGACCTTATTCCTTCTTCAAACCTGGGCTATGTACTAGGAATCCATTGGCATTGGTGGCAGGATAGCCCAGCTTATATTTCCTTTTTCTCTCCTATGGTTCTCTGTGGATCCCAGTCTTTCAGTACTTGTACCAGTTGCACTGAGTGATGCCCATTGCTTGGTGTTATTTTCTTGCCTCTCTTTGTCTGGCCCTTCTTTCCACGGAAATCTGTGTTTTATGATCTCTCTCTTATTTCGTAGGGACAAGATGTCATTAAGGCCTTGACTGATGTAATTAGATGACCCAAGTTCAAGATCTTCCACTAATGATTAGCAGTAGGACAGGATAGATTTTATGGCATTGAATGGCATCTCTCCGTTCCTGTTTGTTTCATGATATGCACTAAAATATAGTACTCACTGTACTGTAATGTGAGATTTAAATGAAATAAATGTGTACTGAAAACAACTCTCAAGAACTATCAAGGACTACTGGTATTTGTGGTTATCAATTACAATGGCCTTGTGGGGAAGGATCTGTTAAGGAAAAAGTGGCAGGCCTTATATTTCACTGTGGCAGGATTTTTCCTGCCAGATTCTGAGAGTATAAAGGGAAGATATGGTCTTTGTCCTCAAACTATTTATGGTCTCCTAGGATAAGACAGATGTATCATTTCATACATACAAGTAGGTATGTATAAAGTATAAAAGTATAAACAAGGCTGTAAGGTCATCAAAGGAGTTAGTGGACTCATGGAAGAGCAAACCATCACTATTTATACTCTTGAGTCGCTTAGCCAAGTATACATGTAGTGGGAATGAGGTGAAATAGCTCCTTTCCATGCAGCTGTTTCTTTGTATTTAAAGGAACACACATGGGCATGACTCAAGTGGACTTGTATGTGACATAGGAAAGGCTTTCATTTTTGAAGACTTCTCACTATAATTTGAACAAATACTGCCATAATAAATATAGGTTGACTGCTCGTAGGAAGGCTGCTTCTTAGAGCTGCCCCAGGTGACCTGTCAGCAGCAGTTGTCTTCTCACATTGACCTTTGTCACATTGTTTGGTAAGCAAAAGAACAAGGTGATTCTTCTAATGGAGACAGCTATCAGGATCTTGAGTCGGTGATCTTTTTACCATCATGGTCCTGTATTGAGGGTCATGCTGTAGAGTTAGGTGAGTGAGGTTCCTGTCACTGTGGGGTAGCTGGATCAAGCAAGATGCTGGCCCACGAGATGCATGAATTTCTGAGTAGACTGCTTTATAAATGATTCCTTCTCGTTGATCTGTAGTGGAAGGAAGGGGCAGACTATGTGAAATGTCTATAACCTGTGATGTTCTGTTGTAGATAATCACATTTTGGTTTATAGACATGCAGACTTACTGGAAATAAACTAACAACTTAATAAAGCAAAAATCTGGGGCCATGAATTACATTTTCCTCCTCTTCTCTTCCATTTACTGCCCACAGTTGACACTCCAGATCCTTATGTGGAACTCTTCATCTCTACAACCCCTGACAGCAGGAAGAGAACAAGACACTTCAATAATGACATAAACCCCGTGTGGAATGAGAGCTTTGAGTTCATTTTGGATCCTAATCAGGAGAACGTTTTGGAGGTAAGTGAGTCATCTGAGGGCTGTGGATGGTGCTCATTCCTGTGGAGAGAGACGGCTTGTGTCTTCCCCTCAACTGGTTGTGGGTGCCTGTGAGCTGGGTGCCATGCTCGCTGATCATACACATGAAGTTATGCTGGTGTCCATGTGGAGTTTCAGGACGCTTGTGCATTTTGGAGAAGATGTATGTTCTGTTCTGAAGATGAGATTTAAAAAAAAAACAGAATATAAATATTATCACTTGCTTTTAAGATATACTTACGTGGAATTTTTTTCTTTAAAGCAGTTGTATTGGTTTTCTGTATTAATTTCTTTTCCATATTTCAAATCATAGAGAGAATAACATTCCATTTTTGTAAATAGTGGTCAATTAGAAATATGTAAAATTTATTGCTTTAGATAGAAACGTCATATTGAGATGAAAATATTGTTATATGTTAAATATTGAGACCTCTAGGGGATGTGTATAGAGTTCAGTTGTCTAGAATGGACTGTAATTAAAAACAAAAAAACAAAAATATAAGGACCTTAAGGGATTGTGAAATATTAAATACTTTAGATTTTTTAAATTAAATTTTTTGAGATAAGCTCTTGCTTCCATGTCTGGCTGGCATGGAACCTGCTGTGTAGACCAGACTGGCCTCAAGCTCTAGATATCGGCTTGCCCTGTCCCTTGAGTGCTGGCGTTAAAGATTTTGTGTAACCCCACCTGGCCTAGGACATTATTTTGTTTTAATGTGATAAACAATTTTTTAGTATTTTGTTTTTATGTGTAGAGTTTTTGCCTGCACGTATGTCTGTACACTATGTGCATAAAATGCCCCATGGAAGTGAGGCCAGGGCATTAAATTCCCTAGAAGTGAAGTTACAGATAGTTGTGACCCACTGTGTGAGTGCTGAGAATTGAATTTAGGCCCTTTGAGAAGAGCAGCTAATACTCTTAACTGCTGTAGTCCTACCTGCCGCTCCTCCCGATAGACCTTTTAGATAAGATTCCTGGAAACTACTCACACTCTCTCTTGCTTTATAGATCACATTGATGGATGCCAATTACATCATGGATGAAACCTTGGGCACGGCTACATTTCCTGTGTCTTCTATGAAGGTGGGAGAGAAGAAAGAAGTCCCTTTTATCTTCAACCAAGTAAGTGCCAGCAGAAGCACTTTCTACTCCAGGTTCCTAATGCTTGGAAACCTCTGTTTCCTTATAGGATGCTTCAGCTTTCATTCTGTCTGCTCATTTCCTTCCCGTTCTCACCCTGTGCTTTCTTGCTGTCATTCTTTGTGGTGCTGAGGTAGGGACCCAGGATCCTACACAGGGTAAGCAAACACTTTACCATTGAGCTGTGTCGGGAGACCCCCCTATGCTAAACTCTTATCATTAAATATAAACCTTGATGGAAGTGATAACTACTATAAGGCATTAAATTAAGCAATAGCTCTGGACTCCACAGGAGGGCCCACCAATACAAAGCATTTGGGATAGTAAGACGCTGCAAAGTGCAACCTATTCCAACATTGTGTGCTACTTTGTTGGAACATGTATTTACTATTGCTATTATAAACACACACACACACACACACACACACACACACTATTGAGTATACTGCTATAGCTTAAGCATCTCTTAAGGAAACATTCTGTCTCAAGTAACTATGACCACATCAGAGAAAGGTCAGAGGAATGGTGTTGGGTTATTCTTCTTACTTCCAGGTCTGTCACAGTTTGGTAGTTATTTATGAATTTAAAATAGCCTTGGGAAAATGATTTATGCAGAGCAAACTCATTGTATCTTAATGTATGATAAATGCATAAGAAACAAATTAGAGAATTTGTGATGAGACATGTTATTGATTGGTGGGCCAGTTAAAACATTTTATCATGTCCAAGGAAACACCATTTTCACTCATCCTTAGAATGACTTCAGGTTCCTCTACTTACCTGAACCTCTCTCCCTTAACTCTCAGCTCCTCCATGTTTCCTGTCCTATCATAAGCTTCCTATTTGATCCCCCTGGAGAATCTGTGGTGTTTCCAGGTACTAACTTATTTATACTGTCCAATTTATCAAATTCCAGTGGTAATAAATTATATAGGCTAAGAGAAGTGAAATACTAATTACATAGCCTGCAGAGTCTATACATAACTTATGTGCACACCATAGGTGTGCACTTACTTAGAAGTTAACTTAAGATCACAGATTTCTTGAGTAGTCCACATGATCTGATCACCCAGAGAATTTGAGAAACTCCCATCTGTGCATTCCCCACAGGTCCTTTCCTGATCACTCATTAATTTTATAAACATTTATCAAAAATCTACAATGTACCAGCCATTGTGTTTGTACAAGGCATATAAGGAATAATGTACAGGAACTTATTTCTCAATTATCTTCCTCTGAGGTAGAGGTGATATTGGAGCTGTGATGGGAAATAGAAGGTAGATGCGTGTGTGTGTGTGGATGTGTTTTTGTATGTGCATATAATAATAAATCACTATGCACAGAGATAAATATCAGTGAGGTATGTATGGAGTTTAATGAGAGGGCAGAATAAAGGAAGTTTGTTTTGTGAGAAGAGGCCCCAGGTCATTTGAACAGTTTGAATAGTGAACATAGTGGTTAACACTTTGACATTTGAAGGAGGGCCATTTGGCCTTTGAATTCCTTATTATCTTTTTCAGGAAATTTAGTAGTTCCTTTGTGACTCATCTTATTCATCTATAAAAGTAGAGATAATATCTTATAAGGGATTTATAATGATAACTATATATACATTAAAACATAATGAATGTCATATAAATTTAATTATAACTTGTTATACTTTATTGTATAAAATATAAGCTATACATCATTTAGGTAGTTTAAATATTAATTATTCTAGATTATGTACATAATGGTAATTAAAACATGTAAGTAGTAAACATTTTGGTTTTGTTATTGGTATCGCTTGAGAAGAGAATAGTGTTTTAGGGGGCAGAGAAATAGTTTGGAGCATTCTAGATAGAAGCAATTGCAAAAGTGTAGTCTTGAAAGAAGGGAGCAAGATGGGGCAAGTTAAAGGCTTGCCAGGTACACAGTGTGAGTAGTAGGGCAAAGGGTGCAGAGGTGGTCAAAAACATCTGAAGGTCCTGCCTGGGATTTTAATAAAGGTCTGTTGAGAGCTTTGTAAGTGCAGATTAGCCTTTCCAAAACAGGTCTTTTATTTTCAATACCTAATCAAAACCTGATTATGAAAGAAGACATTACAGAGAAAAAAAATGCCTTCCCTCTTCTTCTGTCATTTCCTATGGCTAAGTTGTATAACCCTTGAGCTCTGAAGAGGCTTTCTACATTCCTGAATTCAAAGTAGGTTGTGTAATTGCTTTTCTTAGTGTGTCTGGGAAGATAGTTAGCCAAAGAGCTTTTCTTCATTACTTTTGTCTCTGGAGTCTCTTGCAGTTTGTATTTGAAGTCAGTCCTGTGAGTTAATGAACCGGGATGGTCACTGGGCGAAGGGGAATTGCTGGTTGAGTGAAGAGTCCGGGGCTCTTTCTTGGATCATGTGGGAGTGCCCTATGGGAGTCTTGCCTTCCTCTTCTTTTCCGGAGATAGGATCAGCCCTAGGTGGGTGGTTTTCTGTCTGTAATGCTTACAGACGTGTAAGAGAGAATGAGCCACTAGGGAATGCTGGGAGAGTGCAGACTTACATAAACCTTGAAGATGGCTGTGGCAATATGATATCATAAGAAGAACACTTGGCCTTGGTGAAAAAGTACAAAAATTACAAGCCAAAACATTATTAGTCAAAGTTCCCTCAAACTTTTGGCATCTGCAAGTTAATTTGACTCAACAGAGTGGTGTCTATGGCCAGGAGATGGCTGGAGAATCAACACAGACCTCCAATTGGACATGAGCTGACTCTCAGGGACAATTCTGGCCATTTGCAGATTTGGAACCTGGAATCTTGTCTGGACACCGTTCTCCTTCCACACGTCTGAATTATCATTTGCTTTCTCTTAAGTCTCATTTTCATTCTTCAAATGAGGGCTTAGAATGCATTATTCTCTAGCATAGTTCATTTGATGGCATTCCCACCCCCAAAAAAACTTTACAATTCTTCTTGTTTCACAGATATTAACAATAAAAAACAACAAGAGTAAAACTCTTTCAGTTGCATATTATATAATTTCAAAATTCTGACATATTTGTCTGTGGACTGACAAACAGCTTCAGTATGAGGAGAATGTGTGTTCTTACGGAAGCCTGCAACTTGCCAAGTATTAGAGAGGCATGGGGTCCATTTTCCAGAACCCAATAATCTTGTCTGAAAGTAGGTAGTCATGTGTAATATCACGAGGAATATGTGAGGAGCTTGTGTGTCCCACGTGACTTGCTTCATGATGAACAAGCAGCAGAGGACATGATGGGAAGTGTCCTCAGATTCTCGTAAGGCTGGTGAAGAGGCAACAGGGAGCAAGTGAATAATCACTCAACACCAGCTAGTGATAAGTATCAGGAAGAAAATTCCATAAAGCCACCTAATAGAGCTAGCTGGGTGTGGTGGCACACGTCTGTATTGTGAGTGCTCGGGAGGCTGAAGCAGGAAGATAATGATTCTTGGGCCAGTGTGACCTACATAGGCAGTGGTGGGGGCTGGGGGTGGGCTGGAGAGCTAGCTCAGTGGGGGAAAGGCTCCTGCTGTTGAGCCTAATGACCTGGGTTTGACCTAAGAACCACCTGGTGGAGGAAGATAAGTAACTTCTCCAAGTGGTCCTCTCACCTTCACATGTAAGTGCTTGTGGCATATAGGGGAGACCACGTGCACACACACACATGCACACCACAATAAATAGATAAAATATACACTAGCAACACCACCCTCCCAACCCTTCTGACAGCCTGACACATAGCAGTTGGTTCATATAGCCAGGAAAGAAGACTCCTCTCTGTAAAGCATTCTAACCCCCTCTCAAGATTTTATTATGAAGTTTTTCCTACATAAAATGTTCAAGTATTGTTACAGTGAAGAAGCACATACCTACCATCATGTTCTGAAGTTAACATTCTCCTGCTGTATATGCCTGCCTCATTTTTCTTCATCCCTTCACTCATCCATCAGCAGATCCCTTTGGGTACATTTATAAACAGATGGCAGACAGCACGATGCTTGACTGCTAAGCGCTTCAGTCAGTACATCACTGAGTACCATTCAGGATTTATGGATGATCGTTTTAAGTGCCATGTGCCTAGTACAGAAAGTATGTGCCTAGGGTTAAAGGAATAAGTCACTCATTTATCAGTTCATTCATTTTTTTTTTTTTACAAATGTGGTCCCATTCTGTAATTAACATTCTACACTGTGTTTGTTTGTCATCCATTCTCCGTCTATTCACAAGTAACCACTGAACACCCAGTAATGTGCAGTCACTCTGGCTACTGATTTCAAACATGAGCAAACAAGCAAGCATCTTTGTCCTTACGGAGCTAATAGTCTGTGTAGTAAACCAGATGAAAAGCAAGTTACAACAGGGAGAGATGCTTCTGTTAGTGAGAGCTGCAAATGCTACACAAACCAGGGGAAAAGAATGAAAGGGTTTGCATGTGTGTGTAGTGAAGAGGGAGGGTAGCAAATGACACTCTAGAAAATGTGGCTAAGAAAGGAAGAGGCTCAGGGCAGAAGATATCCGAGGTAGGAAGACCCTTCCTATAGTTTCAGTGTATTTTCCTAGGGTTCCAGGGCTGGGAACGTACAGCCGTGTTGATAGGTGGAAGAATAGAACTGTTAAGACGTGGGGCTTAGTTGGAAGTATGCCATTGTGGGTACTACTCTGGAAAGGGATTGATGCTGGCTATCCTTGGGGGTTGAGGAATTGTTCAATGAACCCAGCTAGTGCCTCCACACTTTCTGGTTCCCTGATTTTGATGTAATCTCTGGGTGTTTCAATTGTTTCTGTATCATCTGTCATGAGGCCTTCATGGGGCGTCCTGATTTGGACTTTCAGCCTCTTAAACTACCTACACTCTGCAAACCTGTGTTCTTTATAACATACCTCGATACCGTGGTTATAATAACAGTAAACTGACCAGTGCAGTCTAGAGGCCCAGATTGCCTGTCAGGCTAAGTAGCTGCCAGAAGGAGGATGGTTCCAGTACAGAGAGAGAAG